GTATGTTTGAATATGTTTGTATGTATGTAAGTACCATAGAAATATGGTGTCATAGCAATAGCATTTATATACTGCTCCATAGTGCTTTACAGTATCATCTGAATGGTAAAAGAAATGTATATACGGTGTGTCTGCATCTCTTATGAAGGTTACACAGAGAGAGAGAGAGGGAGGGAGGGAGGGAGGAAGGAAGGAAGGAAAAGGAGAGAAAGAGAAAGTGAGGAAGGAAGGAAAGGATGGAAAGAGAGGAAGGAAGGAAAGGAAGAGAGAGAGAAAAGGAAGGAAGGAGAAAGAAAGGAAAGGAAAGAGACATAAAAGGAAAGAAAGACAGAAAAAAAGGAAAAAAGGAGACGAAAAGAAGGAAAGAAAGACAGGAAGGAAGGAAAGACAAAAAGAAGGAAAGAAAAGGAAGGAAAGAGAAGGAAAGTAACAAAAGAAAAAGAAAGGGAAGGAAAGGAAAGGAAAGACAGAAAAAGAAGGAAAGATAAAAAGAGACAGAAAGAAAAGGAAGGAAGGAAAAAGAAAGACAGAAAGAAAAGGGAGGAAAGTAACAAAAAAAAAGGAAGGAAGGAAGGAAAGACAGAAAAAGGAAAGAAGGAAAGAGAAAAAGAGACAGAAAGAAAGAAAAACACAGTAAAGGAAGGAAGGGAAACTCACTCCCCGGCTGGGGAATTCTGGGAGTTGAAGTCCACCTGCCTTAAGTCTTTGTGAAGCGAGCGGTTAAAGATGGCTAACCCTCCTCTCTCCCCACTCAGCCGGGCACCATTGAACAGGCGGTCAATGAGATCCGGGTGGTTGTGATGCCCGTGGAGGACGGGGAGGTTCAGAGCGTCTGGCTGCTGACCGAGTAAGTCACAGGGCCCCAAGGCCTCCTTGGCAGATAAGCATTAAAAACAAAAAACCCACGTTTCCCCAAATGTTTAGCCACGCTGGCGCCTTTGCTTTTCCTCCCCAGAATCGACCACTGGAACAACGAAAAGGAGCGCCTCGTTCTGATTACCGACCGCTCCCTCCTGATCTGTAAATACGACTTTATCAGCCTTCAGTGCCTGCAAGTGACCAGGATCTCACTCAATGCTGTCGATACCATTTCCACGGGCCAGTTTGAATTTCCTCCCAAGTCGCTCAACAAGTACGTTCGAACTGAGTCGGAAGGGGCCCGGGAGGCCTTCTAGTCCAACCCCCTGCTCGAGCAGGAAACCCTAGTTCATTTCAGTCAATCAGAATAGAGCTGGAAGGGACCTTGGAGGTCTTCTAGTCTAACCCCCCTCCCTCAGGCAGGAGACCCTATCCCATTTCAGACCCATATCTCTCCAATCTCTTCTTTAAAGACCTCCAGCGTTGAGAGAACTCTTCTGGAACCTTCTGGAAGCAATCCGTTCTCTGGATTGTTTGGTCTCATTCCTCCCATTCTGACAACAATCCCCCCCCTCTGCCTAACCTTTTTATCTTAACAAAATAAAAATAAAAGTTTTAACAACTTGCTACTAAGGTTTTTAGTAATTAATTAGAAATTAAACCCTTTCCCCGACAAATCACTCATGGTTGGCCTGAAACGGTCGCCCAAGCAACCAGGCACGCTTCTTTCCGTCCTCCAGGAGGGAAGGCGTCGGGATTCGAATCCAGTGGGACAAACAGAGCCGGGCTTCATTCATCAACCGGTGGAACCCGTGGTCCAGCAACGTGCCGTACGCCACCTTCACCCAACACCCCATGGCTGACGCCGACGAGAAGATTGCGTCTCTCTGTCAGGTTCAGATATTATACAATCTTGGTTTCTTTAAGAAATTTACCATGTTTCCCTGAAAATAAGACCCTGCCTTATAATTTTTTTCCCCCTACCAAAAAAAAAGGCACCAGGTCTTATTTTGGGGGGATGTCATCCACTGACAAACCTCACTTGCGCACGTCGTCCCTGGGCTCCTTTTGGCTGTCCGAGGCCTTCAGGAACTTCTTCTTCTGCGGCCGGCAAGGCTTTCCTGAAGGCCTCTGCAGCCGATAGGATCGATCCTGAGCTTGCCTTGCCGGCTGCAGAAGAAATGGGCCGGCCAGGCAGGTGTCGGGGTGTGCGAGGCCTGGCTACACCTGTCCAAAGGTAAATAGTAGAGCAGCTCCACTACCTCCCCATCCCCACCCTAGCTTAATTTTTACCTGTCCACTCTGGAGTGGGTGAGATCTTAATTAGGGCTTATTTTGGGGGTAGGGCTTATATTGGGCGCACATGTCAAAATCCAGCTAGGACATAGTTTCAGGGTAGGTCCTGTTTTCTGGCCACGCCCCACTGAGTGGCATCAAGCTGGTCATGCCTATCCTTTCAGCCACACACCCGGCCCTCTAGTCCAACCACAGCCCTGATGCGGCCCTCCATGAAATTGAGTTTCGACACCCCTGCCTTGGGGGGGGAGGGGAGTCAAAATACAAGGGGGTAGTTTCTCCCCAAATGGAGTCCCCTCCTGCTTGTGCAAAACCAGTTCCCCACCAGGTTGGGACAATCCACTGCCAGCCCACCAAGCCAGGCTTCAATCCACAAACGTTGCAGTCGGACATCTGTGGCCGGAAATCCATCGCTTCCCTCGCCAATTTCTGAGGTTCTGCGGGGATGACACCCACAACCTTTCAGCATGTCCTCCCCCCCCCTTTTTTTCTTTCTTTTCCTTCTGCAGCTGGACAACTTCCAAACCCAGCTAGTCCAGGCCGTCAAGAAAGCCCACAGGGAGTGTCCTCTCCCGGGCCGGGCCAACGGCGTCCTGCTCCTCGAGCGACCACTCCTGATCGAAACCTACGTGGGGCTCATGTCTTTCATCAACAACGAAGCCAAGCTGGGTTATTCCATGACCAGAGGGAAGATCGGATTCTGAAAAAAAAGCGGCAGTCACTGTCGCCTCCCCCCGGAAGAGTATAGGGGAGAGTAAAACAACACCAGTCAATTTTTTTATTTTTTAGTCCCGGCTCGCCGAAAATCTCACCGATCCCTCGCAACGAGAGGCAGCCATAGGGAGCCATTCACCATCATACCGGAAAATCACAATCCATTCCTTTCGGTGTGTCTCAGATGAGATCATTGTTATGTTTTCACGCATGACTTTTCCCCTTCCCGTGTCGACATGTAACCTAGGTTTCCTTCATGCGGGGTGGCTAATTCTTTCCCATGATTTCAAGGGATAATCGTTGAGAGTCGCTAATTTTTTCTCCCCGTAATTTCAATTTTGGGCGGCTCGTAAGTCTCTTTTGCGTTGCAACTCATTCTTCCCCTGTTCTGGCGAGTCAGCACACCTTACGAGTTGTCGTGGCCGGTTCTGTGTGTGTGTGCCTGGTGTTTAGAGAACTTTTCCGTAGGCAAAATAAAAAAAGTTGCGCAAAGAACCACTTCTCACGCTGTGAAATTCCACACAACAGCGCTCGTTTCCTGTGGGATTCCGTGCTACGCAGGATCACGTTTTTTTCTGCATCAAGCAGGGTTTTTTTTTTTTTTTTAAAGGGGAATTTTCGATCCGCTTGAAAGAAAAGACGGTGTTTCAGTCCAAAGCAGGGTACTAAAAAAAAAAAAAATCTACCAAAGCATGGGTGTTGAAAGGAAGAACGTGTAGTTTTAGTTTGAATTGTCCCAATTTTCTCTCTCGGTTTCAAATCCGACGCTTAACGTGGGGTGAATCCTGAGGCGGAAACTCAAAAAAGGTGGGAAAATTAAAAGTATTGCTTCATCCAGGCCCCAAAAAAATCTTCAGAAGAGAGAGAGAGAGAATATTGGAAGAAAATCTACTGCCACATGGGGAACAAATCATTTTTGAAGCATGTTTCGTTTTTTGGTGTTTGCAGTTTTAATTTCTGCATTCCTTAAACTGGTGTTTCTCAAACGGGGACTTGTTAAGACATCTGCACTTCAACTCCCAGGATTCCCCAGCCAACATGGCTGACAGGAATCCTGGGAGTTGAAGTCCAGACGTCTTAAAATGGCCCAGCTTGAAAAACACTGCCTTAAAAACTACCGAGAACTGAAATTCTGCTTTCCCATACTCTGGTCCTCTTGATACCTCTTTGTAATTCGGCGTTGTCTCTGTTCACAGTGCACAAAAAGGTGGTTGCTGGGATGACGCCAGATATATGTCCTTGTTTGTGTTACAAGTTGTGTATACTGAAGCTTAATAAAAACAAGTCCATATGAATTGCAGAAGTGTTAACCCACAACTCCTTTCGGACTGCGTTTGTTTCACAGGGGTCCATGAAGTGCTTTTATCCTCCTCGGAGACCAGGGTCGGGGTGTGTGTGTGAGTTTTGCTGGCAATTGGTGAGTGCGCTCACAAAATGGTTGCCATTTCCCGGGTTATTTGGCTTCCCGGTAAACGCTGGAGACGCTCAAGGCAAATGCTTCGCAGCGAGCTAGGTTTCTCTTTGTGCGGTGTTTTCTTTAAATAGGACTTTTAAAAAGATGAGAGGGTTATTGAGGCACCCTTTAAGCCGTGATTTATAAGCCACGATTCAAGGTTTAGTGTTCTGGGAAGTTTAATGAGCGGGGGTTAGCACTAAGAGGGTGTTAGAGCCATTTAAGATAGGGCTGGGAGACCACTTGGAAATCCTACAGCTTCAGCCAACCCCTTCCATACTAGCCAGGACAACTGTGTAGATAGATGTGTGCATGAATTCTCAAAAGGAAGATGAGGGGGAAAGGGGAAAGGCCAATAGAAGGAAAGGTCATGTTCCCTGTTTTTTCCTGTCTACCTATCTCTTTTTTCCCTTCTTTCCCTCTTTTCCTTCCTTCTTTCTTTCTTTCCATCTTCTTTTCCTTCCCTCCCTTTCACTTTTCCATCCATCCTCCCTCCCATCTCTCCTCCTTTCCTCCTCTTCCTCATCTCCCTCTTTTGCCTCCCTTTTTCTCCTTCCTTCTTCCCTTCCACACAACATCTACATGCCCACATTCAAACAAAAAGCAAACCAGAAAGTTGCTCTGCTTTATCCTCCACACAAGAACGCAAAATTGCTGCCCTTTTCATTTCGACCGCACTTTACATAGCAAACACGTTTATTGAAAACCGGAGAAAACAACAGCGCAGGTCGCGCACTATAAAATCTACATCCTTCGTAGGTTTCCTACTGCTGGTGCGCTCGCCAGACAGCTTCAACCTTTCCCGGAAAGGAAATTCAAAACCAGGTCTCTGGCCCGATTTTGAGTTTTATGTACAGATTTAAATTACGTGTGTGTGTGCCTAAAAAAACAGACAAGAGGGAGCAAATCCGAGAATTGCTTACGTTTTTCTCCTGAATTTGGAGACGTGACGTTTTAAAAACAATGGACGGTTTGTTTCGTTCACTTAGCTTCGTTTTTGGTCCAGTTGTTTTGTAGCTTCTTCTCTTTCTAAGTAACACAGGCAGAAATTGTCCTTGCTCAGAAGAATCAGGGAGTCCTCACTGGGGTGCCAGCACAACGAAGTCACCTTGAAGTCACCTGTACACACACACACAAAAAAATTTTTAAAATTAATCCTTTCTTTTTTTCTTTTGTGATAATTTCCAGCCTTTCAGGTACATCCTTTGAAACAGAGGGAAAAATACAGTAATAATAAATAATAATAAACTGTATCTGGCAGCCAGAAAAGTACTAACGAACCACAGTGGGATCTCTCCAACTTTTTCAGTTTAAATTCCAGTGCAAAATAAATGCCAGAACAACAGCAACCAGCTTTAGTACAGACCAGTTGAGCTAAGCCACGCCCAGGCTCCTTGCTCACAGCAAATACCGTTTCAGCTTCCAAACAGCCCTCAACTCTCACACACTGACAGGACGCTAGCCAGATGAATACCGATGGATGCTGGTAGGCAGACGCAGAATTTATTTCCCCCTTATTTTCCTCCCAAAAAACTTAAGCCCGACCACATAATTTCATAGCGAAGCACGGGCATCCAGCTGGTTGTTAGTATTTTTACCTTCCATCGGTATTTGCACGGAGGCGCATCCTGCGGCAGACCAGAGATACACTTTCGTGTTGCCGGTACACAGAGCGAGCCGAGGTTGTTTGGGGTCCCAGTGGAAATGCTGAATGGGGCCCAAATGCTCCAGGACTCCGTAAAGTTTCATCTTTTGGACGTCCCAGATCCAGACGGTGTTCGGGAGGTTGTCTGTTTAAAAACACACACCGAGCCTTTCAAGGAACGCGGCCTAACCCACAGCCAAACTTATTAACGGCGTTCATAACCCAACAGGATGTTGAGCTGGTGTTAAAAAAAATGCAGGGAGCCCTCAACGTATAACAGTTCGCTTAGTGACCGAAGTTACAACAGCATTGCAAACAGAAGATAAAATGTGTTGCCACGTAAGGATGAATGCAACTGTACCCGTACTGGGATCCTCCCTTAGTTGCTACCAGTTCAGCGGGTGATTGTGCAGGCAGCGAGGCAGAGGAACAAGGGGAGCCTCTTCCCAGTGCGCATGCGAGCAGAGCTGCTAGAAGGCAAGAGCAGCTGAGGTAAAAGGGACAACTCGGGAGTAAGGCTGGGAGGCGATTGCCCCGCCCCTAAGGGATAAAAGTCAGGCCTAAACGACAAAACCTTTGCAGGAAGCAAAGTCGTTCGATCGGTTCAGAGTCATCCTTGAAGCTCTTTGTACTTCGGTTGGTTTCTTTTCTAGTTCATTGGATGCTTCTGTTTTTGGCGGCACTTCACAGAACCGAAAGGTGGGTGCTTATCTCAGGGGACTGTTTTGAGATTAATTCCGGCCGGGAATGAAAACAATTCCCAGTGTGGCAATAAAATAAGACTTGTTTTTAAAATAAGCGTGTGCGTAATTACGGTTTACGAAGCCTGGATCAGAATAGTCACTGCCATCCTCAGGCTTGTGAATTGGATTCTTTTTAATCGTGTCCGGCTTGGCAGCCATTTTTTGTTTAAAACCTAAATAACATACATACATACATTGATTTTTCACCTTTTTAAAACTCTCATAGCAGACGGTGGAAAGGAAGGCTCAAATTTTTCACTCTCCTTTGTCCCAAAAGGCTCGTTTCGTCAGTTGGGACACACGAAGGGAAAGTCGGTTTACTTAGCTTGCCTCCAAGCTACTCACCATTTTTCGTGGCCAGGAAACTGTTGTCCGAACTGAAAGCTAACATCGCAACGCCGATCCTGGGATTGGCCCTGTCTGTGGGAGGTTTGACATGGTGCAAAGGAACGGGGGCTTGGACAACTTCATCTTGGAATTGAAACCAAAAAAAAACAAGGTTTACTTCCGGACCCTGCTCCTTTCAACCCCTTTTCACTAGACAAACTAGGTAACCAGTTTGTTGCAGCTGGTCCTTGACTTATGACAACTGAGCCTGTTCCCAACAACTTGCTGTGCGCAGCTTCCTCTTTTATACACTGTTCCCAGCTGCAGCTAATGAAGGGAATCAAGGCTCTTTCCTCCCTCGTAAGCCATGCAACCCACGTTGCTCCCTTCTCTATTCCTCCTGCGTGCCCTAGGATGAAGAGGGGGGTGGGCTTGGGTCTTCATCCAAACTCCCTCTCCCTTGTTCTATCTCTCCCCTTCTCTGCCCAGCTGGACTTTGCCCTTCCCCAGTTTCTTCCACAGCCAACAGAGCCACACTCGCGCTCCCTGTCAGCTGCTTGGCCTCCCCCTCCGAATCAGATTCTGACAGGGACATGACATGAACTAGCCACCAGGAGGTTGTGAGTTCTAGTCCTTCTTTTAAGCATGCAATCCAGCTGGGTGACTTTGGGCTGGGCCAGCTTCCTCCGCCTATCCCACCTCACAGGGTTGTCGTTATGGGGAAAAGACGAGGTGGAAACCTTCATTATAGATGCAAACTTTGATTTAACCAGAGCTAGATAGATGAAAACCAAATAAATAAATAGTCCTTTCCAATTTCTTTGGTCTGTTCCTTCCTGAATTTGGTGTTTTTCAAATTCAGCCACTTGGAAGATGTGTGAACTTCAACTCCCAGAATTCCCCGGAGGGATGGGGGAATTCTGGGAGTTGAAGTCCACCCATCTTAACTCCCCAAGCGCTACCTGAAACGTACATTTGGTCTTTCGGCTGAAGAGCGCGTTGGCCATTCTCTTGCTCGGGGGGAAGGTCAACTTCTCCAAGTCCACGGCTGGGGTCTTCTCAACTTCCTTGTAGACCACCTAGAAAGGAAGTCAGATTGGGCTGGGGTCATTCCCAAAAACACAACGTGAACCAACATGGATCTAACAGAATGACACAGCTGGAAAGGGGCCTTGGAGGTCTTCAAGTCCGCTTACCGTTTTGGGATCAGCAACGTTGACCGGATGGTCGAATTCAGCAATCTTCGCCCAGGTCACATGGTTTAAGATCCGTACCTAGTTAAAAGGAAAAAGGCTCAGGATTCCGGCAGTTAATTAAATCACGGTTCCCTGCTTAAATTAAATTAAAATAAATCCATGACCCTGGTTTTCCCTCCACCCCTTTGGGTGTATCATAATTCTCCAATGAAACACATTCATACCCAAGAGTCATCAATCACTGTCATGCCCCTGGTGGAGACTGACTCTGAGGGAGAGGAGGAACAGCTGGCAGGGAGTGGGAGTGTGGCTCCAGAGGTTGTGGAGGAGGCTGGGGAAGGCAGAGGCCGGCTGAGCAGTCAGAGGAGGACCTAGGACCATTCTCTCTCCATCCTAGGGCATGCAGGGAGGAGACAAGAAGGGAGAAATGTGAATGGCATGGACTACGGGGGAGGAAAGGGCCTTGATCCCCTTCATGGGCTGCAGCTGTGACAACTGGATAAGAGGATGGACCTGCATATGGGCCAGTGCTGGAAACAAAGCGTGGAAATATCTCTGGTTTATGGTTCCTCTCTGAGTTTGGCGTCCTCCCCAGTGTGTGTTCCGATATCTGTGGACGTCTTCCAGCCTTTATCTTGCCTGGTTTGTGTTGTTTTTTTACTCTTTACAATTTAAACGGCATTTCCTCCTTCTTGTAACTGTTTGTGTGGGAGTTTTTTGTCTCCAGTCAAGGATATTTGGAGCTTGGGAGCAAAGTGAAGGAATAAAAGGGGCTTCACCTGTTTTTTTGTGACTGTGTTTGTTTTGTATCCCACCCTGGGTCATCACAATCACATTCTCCCATTAGAGATTTGCGGAGGCAGAAATTCCAGTCGCTTAGTTATCATCTTTGCAAGATAGGAATGGAATGCACTTTCGGTTCCAAACTGTTGCACTTCTCTTTCAAATTCCTCCCCCCCCCCCCCACCCATTTTGTTCATGGCAACTCTAAAGCGGGCATAAAAATGCTTTATGAGTTAACAGTATCAACATTTCCGACTTGTCAATCAACGACTGAGGGGGGAAATCAAACCCGTAGGTAAAAACACACACACACAAAAAGGTGAGGAAATCGATTAAATGCGGCCTAGCATTTTGGATAACTCTCGAACCCTGCGTGGTCATCAGCTGCGCAACGGGAAATTTGGAAGGGGAGGGGCTCCAGGGGGGGGAACCAGGTTTGGCCGAGCTCACCTTCCCATCGTAGCTGCCGATGGCCAAGAACTGACTGCTGGGGCTCCAAGTGAGAGATTTCACGCCCAACGACCATTCATAAGCGCTGTAGGTCGAGAGGAGACGGCCATCGAGAGAGAAAAGCAGCACTTTGTACTGAAAAAAAGAAGAATGACAGCCATTTGTCCGCAATGGTGTAGGTAGGGTTTCCTGCCTAAGCAGGGGGTTGGACTAGAAGACCTCCAAGATCCCTTTCCAACTGTTTTCTATTCTGTTCTTCGTTTATTCTATTCTATTCTATTCTATTCTATTCTATTCTATTTTTCATTTATTCTATTCTATTAATTTATTCTATTTTTCATTTATTCTATTTTATTCTGATCTCTTTTCTATTCCATATTCTATTCCATTCTCCATTCTCTCTATTCTATTATTCATTTATTCTATTCTATTTTTCATTTATTCTATTCTATTCTGATTTCTATTCTATTCCATATTCTATTCCATTCTCCATTCTTCATTCTCTATATTCTATTCTATTTTTCATTTATTCTATTCTATTCTACTTTGATTTCTATTCTATTCCATTCTCCATTCTCTCCATTCTATTCTATTCTATTCTATTCTATTTTTTTTCCTGCTTTCTGTTCTGTTCAACTTCTGTTCCATTCCATTTTATTCTATTTTCTTTTCTTTCTTTCGTTTTGCTTTTCTATTCAACCAACCGTCTAAGCTAAGATAATAAACTAAGCAACTGAGATGCTTAAAGGCCTGGAGACGAAGACCTACAAAGAACGGTTGCAGGAATTGGGTCGGGCCAGTCTAGAGAAAAGAATTGGGGTGACATGATAGCATCTTCCAAATATTTGAGGGGCTGCCCCAAAGAAGAAAAGTGGGTCAACTTATTCTCCAAAGCACCTGAGAAGGCAGGACGAGAAGCAACGGATGGAAACTCATCCAGGAGAGAAGCAGCTTAGAACTAAGGAGGAATTTCCTGACAGGGAAAGACAATTAACCTCTTGCCACCAGAAATTGTGGGTGCTCCATCCCTGGAGGCTTTTTAAGAGACTGGATTTTACTCACCTCGAGGCAGCTGTCCCACACGGCCAACACGCAGCCATTTGGGGCCCAGTCGATTCCCGCAGCGTCCTGGGTGTCGATTTCAAAATGCTTGGGACAGAAAAGACAAGGGAAATAAGGAAAACCAGGCCGGGACTAAGAAGACGCAGGTCAAAAATCTCACCTGGTACAAAAGCACCTCAGGTGAGACCGGACCAGGGCCCTTTGCTCAACTCAACCTTACCTCCCAGCCCAGAGGAAAAACATCGAACAAGGAGAAACCCCCCAAGCAGGCTGGGAATCCCACAAAACCATCATCCAAGAGGAAGTCCGGAAAAGGGGATTTCCTACCCTTAAAAGCTGCCAGTCGCTGCAGACAAAGAGGCTCACGTAATCTTTGCAGTCCCTTCGCTCGACCAGGGCCAGGTAGCGCCCATCTTTTGTGAAAGCCAGGCCTGCAAAATAATAATAATAAAAATAAAATAAAAATAAAATCATCATCATCTTTTTAACGACCCCCTAATCAAGTCTGGGCAACTGAATGGAGCTGAGTGTTGAATGGCTGGATGCCTTTCCTGTCACCAGTGCGAAGTTTTGTTCAGCAGTTCCCCCCCCAATGAAATCATGAGTCTTGAGCCAAACTTCCAAAAACTTCCAAAGGATTTATTGGGAGTTAACATGTCCGGCACTGCCTGGATGGAGCCAACTCTGAGACATATAATTCATCATCACTCTTGACCCTGGTTTTCTCCCACCTCCTGCATGTGTCATAGATCATATTCTCCAACAAGACCCATCCATAGCCCAGAGTCATCAATCATGTTCTCCAATTAGAATTTTGCGGGGCAGAAACTTCAGTCGCCTAGTTACTATCTTTGAAAACATTTATGGAATGCAGCTTCGATTTCCAAGCTGCCACACTGCTCCCCCCCCCTCCCTTTCTGTTGGCCACTCTAAAACGACCCTAGAAATATTTTTATGAGTTGACACACAGGTTGCAAAACTGGACGGGACTGGTTTAAAAAACACATTTTCTTAACGGCGGTTTTGTCTCCAATTGGGGTCTACCTGTTCAGGGGAGGTGGGAGATGATAAAAAAAATATATCTGAATTTAATTCACTTCACTCACCCTGCTGACAAGCTTTGGGGTATTTGATGTAGGACACCGATTTTGTACACAGGGACCAGACGGTGATACGAAGCTGTTAAAAGAAGGCAAGATTTAATTTTGAGGATGCAATGGAGGAGGCAGAGAAATTTCCTAGAGAATTTTTTTCCTTCCTGGCCCTACCTCCATTTGACTCTTAGAATTTTTCTTTATTTTTACTTTTTATTCAGCCAGGATTGCTGCCACATTAATTAACCTTGATTTTTTAAAAATATATATATATATTTTGCGCATACCTCCATTTGACTTTTACAATTTGTCTTTATTTTTGTTTTGTTTTATTCAGCCAGGATCGCTTTCCATAAGAGACTGGACTGCCATCTGTCAGAAATGGTGTGTAGGGCGTCCTGTTGGGCGGGAGGGGGTTGGACTAGATGACCTACAAGGTCCCTTCTAGTTCTATTCCGATTGATTGAAATGGTCTGGGATTGCTTGCTTGAGCAGGGGTTGGACTAGATGACCTACAAGGTCCCTTCCAACTCTTGTTCATCTGTATCTAACCACATTAATTATAACTTGATTTAAAATATATATATATATATATTTAATAGACGGACCCAAACAAACGGTCACGATTTTAGAACAGGATTTTTTTGTGTGTGGAAGCAAAGTGGAGAGAAGTAACAACAGCCCTGGGGGGGGAAATGTACTTATGACCGTTTTTCACCCTTACGACCGGTGTACCCTTCCTGTGGTGATGGGATCCAAATTCGGATGTTTGGGAACTGGTTCACTTTTATGACGGTTGCAGTGGGATAAGTTTCCTAGCCACCCCCCCCAAAAATAGCCATTATTTTGGAGACCAACTTTAAAAAACTGACTTTCCATTCGTGTATGTTTCAACAGATTTTATTATTCTTCCAAAATAGATCCTCCTGCTTGTTTTTCCCCCTCCAAACCCACATTGCTGGCTTAACGCACACGCACGTGGCCAGCCTCACACCTCTCCGTGATCGGGTGTCCGGTGCAGCTGCTCATCGGAAGGGAGGGAAAAAAACAGCAGCGTTGTTGACATGCCGAGACCGCAGGAGCAGCTGAGAAAGCAGCCTTTTAGACACGGGTCTGCTCCAGGAGACGGGGGTGAGGGCTGACAACGCCGGGCAGGTGGCAAGGGGTTCACCCCCCCCCACTCCGTCCCACGGAAAACCCCACGCTCCCACCGCCCACCCCCCGGCGTTCCTGACGGACCTCCACTCTTATCCCAGACTTGGTGGGGTCAAAATGATCCAGAAGGGGGTTTGTGTGTCTGTTTAGCATGGGGAATTTGGGGGGGGGGGGATTTTTTGGACTGGATAAATTTTTGGACAGAAACAGAAGAGGATGGATAGGTGGATGGATGGATGGATGTAGATGGATATAGACAGACAGATATGTAGATATAGATAGGATAGATAGATGAGAGAGATAGGTGGGAGATAGAT